AAAAAAAAAAAAAAAAAAAAAATGGCAGCATCAGTATCCACTGGGAGTGTTAGGAAGCAAAATCCGCAGTTTAACAAGATCCCCAGGGGATTTGTATGCACATCTGAGTATCTAGTGTCCTCACTGTAACAATCCTTGATCCTTGTTAAATCCTCTTACCCATTGACCTCACACTTTTTTGCTGTCAGCCCTACCCTCGCTTCACTTCCCTTTTTACCCATCTCAGATGTCCTGTCCCATTTTAATGACTCCTTTAAAATACTTCTTAAAAATCACCATCAACTCCCTTGCCTTTCCATTTCATTTTAACTGGCAAAATTTTGATTATGGTTAAGTTTAGCTATCCATCTTCTTTTGTAACCTATGTATGAGCAGAAATTTGTTATAAGATAAAAAACAATGGGAGATTGGGGAGACTAGTTTCACTTTAAATTGAGGAGACTAGTTTCACTTTAAATTCAGGACCACAAGGGCCGAGCCCGTGGCGCACTCGGGAGAGTGCAGCGCTGGGAGCGCAGCAGTGCTCCCACCGTGGGTTCAGATCCTATATAGGGGTGGCCACTGTGCTCACTGGCTGAGCGCGGTGCGGCCCGTCTCAAAAAACAAAAACAAAACAAAACAAACAAATAAATTCAGGACCACAAACCTCAGGTGATACTTGCTGCTTGGCAGTCCTGCTGTTTCCCTATGAGCTCCCTTTTCTTTGCTCAAAGACAAATAAATGTGTTGGTGTGTTGTGTGCTCAGCCTTTACTCTGAGCCTCCCAGAGGTTTCTGCCTCCCTACTTGCCCCACCTGCTAGTGAGAACATAAAATAGTGCCTTTGGCATAGTAGTTTCTCAGGAAATATTTGTTGAATGAATGGATGACCATGTTGTGGGAAGATTTCCTTCACAGGGCTAGTCTGTTAGGCAAAACACCACGTCACGGGAGAGTGCCACCACTTCTTTAATTGAGCGACCTTGGGAAAGTCACTTAATCTCTTAGATCCTCATTCTCTTTATCCATGGGTGGGCATAATGATAATTGTTCACCTCCCTTCACAGTTAAATATTGAGACACAAATAAGGCAGTTTTGTGCTGTGTGAACTCTTGGTGCTATCTATACATATGTAGGTTATTTTAGTAATACCACTACTAATGTTTTTAATCTGGATGTGTGGTATCTCCTAAGTTTGACTATTAGATTTAGTGGAAAGAGCTTGGATTTTGGAATCACAGTATCTGTGTTCACATCTCTGCTTCTGAGCTGAGTGACATTAGGTAGCAGGTCATTAACAAATGAGGTAATACTAGTAGCTAATTAATAGTATTGTAAGGCTCAAATGGGATAATAATATACATAAAATTATTTCAAATTTATAATGTTCTGTGTGTTATGGTCTTTACATGTTAGGAGGGTGGGGGAGAAGGGTGGTTTGTCTTATTTCAGGTCCAAATCTCTTGATTCAGTGAGCACAAGCATCAAAAATGCAAATATGCTCAGCAAGAACATCTTTTTTTTTCTTTCGCATGTTTTTTTTTGCAATTGATTAGATTCAATGTGACATTTACTTACCTTGAAACATTGTGCAGAGATGTTGCTTCTTGGTCATTACATGTTGTGCATACCATGACCAAGACTTTGATCCTTTGTTTTTCAGTGAATTGATTTTTTAAAGCAAGCCTGACATGACATTCATTAATAATGCATGAAGAAGAAATTTAAATTGGAGGATTTAAAAAACCAACATTGGTGGTGGTGGTCTTTTTTTTTGAGACAGACTAGGTTTTTCTCCTTCACTAAATCTTGGTCACAGTTCCCTGCTTTGAGATTCAAGTAACTTGGATGGACCAGAGGCATGACAATTAGAGAACAAAGTCATAGACTTAGTTTATGGTCTTTCTTTGGTTCATAATAACCACATTCCTGTGTCTTAGGATTAGGTAGATGGTCAGATTTTTGTGAGTTTATGATGTTGAGCTCCAAGATTTGAAACTGGCTGAGGCTTGCCTAGTTAGCCTAGTTAGTCTGTTGGTGGTGATTTTCAACATTTCCTTTTAGAGAGTGCTTGGCCTGAGCCCAAGAATTCACAGTTTTGCCTGAGTGAAGGGTTTTAAGGAGTACTTCATTCTTCTTGCCACTATAGTAGTTTTTCCAGGACCTCTGTTGCCTCCTGTCTCTGTTCTGTTCTTACCTACCTGACCCTTGGTGAAGAGTAGGGATTGCCCCAGGGTAACTTCTGCACTTAGCCTATCCCCATTCTTGTTAAATTTTTTGGACATATAAATAGCCTTTCTTAGTTGAGTCTAGATGAGACTCAGCCACTCCCTTCTATTAGTGGCAGTAGCAGGAGCAAGTAACTGCTTGAAACTTACAAGTGCTGTATGGTGAGGGTGGTTTTAAACCTGACTGAGTCAGAACCACTGACCTGGCATACAGACTCCCACCTGGACCCTACTTTCTCTCATCACTGATGGCATTGGTGGTGATGGCATTGGAAGGGAGGAACCTGGGAATTTTGTATTCATAGTCAGGTTTGGCGACCACTGTCTTCAAGTAAACAGCAGTTCTTTCTCTGTTAATCAGAATCTTCTCCCAAACCACACAATTTATCTTTGACATTTTAAAAAGCATCCTATGCCATTCTTGACCTCATGAACCATGGTTAATCTACAGAGTGAGGCTTACGAGGCAACTGTCTTGGTTTGATTTCCATTCAGTTTGTCTTTTTTTTTTTTTCCTTTTTCTTTTTTTTTTGTCTTTTTTCGTGTCCAGCAACGGATCGCAACCCTCCCGTACCAGACCGGGACCGGCAACGGGATCGCAACCCTCGGTGTCACGCCCGCACCTCGCTCAGCCAGTGAGTGGGAACCGGTCTGTATGTGGGATCCAAACCCTTCGAGGGAGCGCCGCCGCGCTCCCAAGCGGCGCACTGTAGCAGTGCGCCACCGGGCCGGCCCCCCAGTTTGTCTTTGAATAGAAAAATTTCATCTTTCTGGGGCTGCTGTAAAAAATTAACAAACATGTTGGTTTAAAACAACAAAAATTTGTTCTCTCACAGTTCTGGAGGCCAGAAGTCTAAAATCAAGGTGTTAGCAGGGTTGATTCCTTCTGGAATCTCTGAGGAAGAATCCGTCTCATGCCTCTCTCCTAGCTTTTGGTGGGTGCCAGCAGTCCTTGGTTTATAGACAATGTCTGCCTCCGTTTTCACATGACCTTCTCTTCTGTGTGTTCTCTTCTTATAAGGACACCAGTCATTGGATTTAGGGCCTACTGAAGTAATCCAGGATGCTCTCATGTCAAGATCCTTAACTTAATGACATCTGCAAAGATGCTTTTAACAAATAAGGTCACATTCACAGGTTCTGAGTGGACATGTCTTTGGGGGGTGGGGGAGGGGCACGATTCAACCCACAACAGTGGCCTTGCCGGCTCTTGTGTCATTCCTGGCCAGATTCTTTGCAAGTACTTGGCATTGCTTGTACGGGAGACAGGGAGGTCTGTGCTTCATCATCTAAGCTCTACCAGCAGAGAAAAATGCAAAACACAAACATTTGACAGAGTCATTAAAAAGTGTTTTTCTCTTGGATTGAATTGTTCTGTTTTTAGGTATTATGTCTGAAAATATTTTCCTGTATTCCAAAATCCCAAGGCATTTAACTCACTTCCTATGAAGGTGAACAGAATATGACAAGATACTATTTTGCCTTAACCTAAAAGTTGTAGATTTAGGGCTGGCCGGTTAGCTTACTTGGTTAGAGTGTGGTATTGGTAACACTAAGGTTAAGGGTTTGGATCCCCTTACCAGTCAGTAGCCAAAACAAAAACCAAAAAAAGTTGCAGATTCATACCTGATCATGAGTAAATCAGAAGTATATATGGTGTTTCTGGGCTGGCCAGTTAGCTCAGTTGGTTGGAGTACAGCCTTGTAACAACAAGGTCAAGGGTTCAGATCCCCATACTGGCCAGCTGTCAACCCCCCCGCCAAAAAAAAAAAAAAACCCACAAACAACAAAAGTATGTAGTGTTTCTCTAGACAGAAGATTACTTTATCACTTCCCAGATAGGGCTTTTTCTTACAGAGTTTGAATCCTCCTCTAGTTTAACATACAAGAGTACTTCAAAAAGTTTCTATTTTTCAAAAATAGAATTAAAGGATAGTACGATTCTTTCCATGAACTTTTCTTTTTTTTTTTCCTTTTTGTCTTTTTTTCATGACCGGCAATGGATCGCAACCCTCAGTGTCGCGCCCGTACCGGGCCGGGACTGGCCACGGGATCGCAACCCTCGGTGTTGCTCCCGCCCCTCGCTCAGCCAGTGAGCGGCCGGTCTGTATGTGGGACCCGAACCCTCGGCGGGAGCGCCACCGCGCTTCCCAAGCGGCGCACTATAGCAGTGCGCCACCGGGCCGGCCCTCCATGAACTTTTCAAAGACCCCTTGTCTCTATAGTTTTATATTGTAAGTTGCATAATTCTGTGGCTTTAAAAAATACACATTTAATGCAGGCTAATGGTAATAAAACTTAAGCAATATGCAAGTGAAGAAAGCAAAAACTGAAAGCTCCCTTTCACTCCCCCTATTAAGTTTGGCGTAAATTTTTCTGAACCCTCTTTTATGGATTGTGTGGTTTTTAGGGACGTACTGAGCTGATAACATAAAGCAAGGTGAATATATTGCTAGTTGTAACTACTTGTCTTAGGATACTATATTGCCTTAAATTCATTTCAGCAGCATTTTCATGTTTTTTTAATATCCAGAGTTTTCTAGATTCCTAGGTTCAATGTGGAGATAGTTTATTATCATATATAAGGAAAAGTTTAGGCTGTGAAAGCTACTTAAATAATAACTGTTGTTTCTACTTTTTCTTATAGATTCTAAAGTCTTTTTATATATTTCCTTTGCAGATTTAATCCAGAGACTGACTTCACTATAGAAACACTCAAAGTTGTATCAATGATTGGGGAAAGATAGTGGCAACAGGCAAAGGAAAAACAGTTCTGACATACTAAGAAAATGAGTATGCTAAAACCAAGTGGGCTTAAGGCCCCTACCAAGATCCTGAAGCCCGGAAGCACAGCCTTGAAGACAACTGCTGCTGGTAATGCTTTATGTTTTTCCTTAATAGCAAATACATCATTTTATATAACGACTTAAATTAAAAATTTTTATTTTAAAAGACTACCTTATGAAAATTTATATATATTTTTTGTTTTTGTTTTTCTCTTTTTTTTAATTGAAACATAATTGATTATACATTTTTGTGGGGTACAGAATTGACTTTGTGTACATTATGTGATGATATCAAATCAGGATAATTCGCATATTCATCATTGCAAAACATACTCATTCTGTGTGTACATTAACCAATTTCTTCCTAGCCCCCCTCTCTCTTTCAAAATTTATATTCTTGAAAGTATTTGAAAAAAGTTTTAATTAAAAGAAATGGAATTTTATATCTGGAAATCTTAATCAGTGAAGTTACCTTTTTATGTTATCTTATTTAATTTAGTTGATTGAGTATAAGGAGCTAAAATAGTCAAGTCAAGTCACTTCAGCATTTGATGCTTGTAATGTTAAGGTATTTCTTTAGACTTCTTCCCCGTGTCTTCCTGAACTCCTCAGGACCCTTCTCCTGGGGGTTTAGGGATATGTAGAGAAAACAACAAAGACTAGCCTGGCTTAAAAGATGTTATTGCACTAATAGACCTGAAGTTGGCCACTGGCATCTAGAGAGCACACAGGACAGTGTTCAAGTCTAGCTCAATCAGGGAAAACTTCCTCAGACATTTTATAGATGAACCCATGCCCTTTATTATCTTCAGCGATCTATCCCTTTTCTCTACCTCTTCCTGCACTCTTTCAATTTACATCCCAAGATGATCACCTAAGGTCTTTAATAAGAGAGACAGGAGGGAGGGTATCTGCTGCCTGCTTTTATGGTCATTTTATGTGATTTGTATATACTCTAAGCTATCTTATGTTATCAGCCATTTCAGACAGCCAGGTGCCCACCATAATATATTAAGTCCAACATTGTTTCTTCACATTCTTCCATAAAGACATGCATTAGTTCTTCTGGAAAGCAGGGATCTTTGTGTTTGTATTTTTCACTGCTATGTTTCATCCACACACCTAGAACATTGCCTGGCACATAAGGGGAACTCAGTAAATATTTGTTGACTGAATGGAGATCCCAAGCTATTTACATTTTATGGATCAGGATAAAACAGGATTCTTAAAAGAGAGGCCATAAAGCACCTTAGATGAGGGGAAAGCTTTATGGATAAAACAAAGGACTGTCAAGAAATGGATTTGTTTCAGGACTGTTTATTCTTGGGGAAATCAGTCAGAACTGGAACCCCTATTTTTTTCCCCCTTGAAATCTTTCCTCTTTTTAAGACCCCTTCAAATGCCAGTCCTTCTACGAAGCCTTCCCTATTGTACTCACCCATTTTAGGATTTTTATATTCACTTTTAGTATTTTCATGCACACCCCTTAGCATATAAAGTCTTTGAGTCTAACAATCATGAGTAATTCAACTTGGTTTTCCCAACATTATTTAACACATGCTAGAATTTTTTTTAAAGAGTAAAGCAGCTTATTGATATTAAAACTTAAAAAAGAATACTGTATTGCATTTTTTCTTTTTTTTTGGCAGCTGCCGGTACAGGGATGGAACCCCGGACCCTGATGTTATCAGCACCATGCTCTAACCAACTGAGCTAACCAGCCTTAATACTAAAAGTTATATGCTCAAAAAGAAATAATTTTGAAGGAATTTAAGGCTCTTTAATGGAAATTGTTCAGAAATTTATGCTTGAAGCACCCTATGAAGCTAAAATAGATTCTAATAATGACAGGGCTGGCCTCTGTCACTGGCACATTATTATTTGTTCTTTCTGAGAACATCTACTCTCTTAAAACGAAAAAACGATCTCCGTAAATTTAAACTCCACAGTCTCCCTTTCTGTGTTGGATAGAGATATTTGGCACCTGCTCTGGGCTGGCTGGACCATTCTGCTCCCTCATCTTTGCATGGTTCAGTCCTTTTTGTTGATTAGTCCTCAGGTCAGATGTCACCTCCTCCATGTGGCCTTCCCTGATTGCTCATTCCAAGGCACTTTGTCCTCCACAGCACTTAGACTACCTGAAATTTCCTGGAATGTCACTTTACTGTCTGTCTCCCCACCTCTAGACTCTAATCTCTACGAGGGCACTGACTGTGCTGTCTTGTTTTGTCCCCTGGCATAGAACAATAGCTGGGACTAGTCCTGAAGTGGTAGGAACTCAATAAACATGTGCAGAATGAATAAATACATTATTTTATCTAATCTTCATTTAAAAACATAGATGATATTATCCCCTTACAAATGAACAAATTAAACTCAGAGGTTGTATAATAACATCCTAAGATCATGTCGTGCCTAATAAATGGTAGAGTGATTAAGAATGTGGGCTTTGCCAGTTCACACTATCTAGTAAGTGCCTGTTGGATAAATACATGAATGAATTTTCAGTGTAAATATCACATTTCTGGCAAAATATAACTACTGTGTTTATCTAGAGTAGAGATTACATAGAGTAGAGATTGCACAAAGTTATATTGCCTTAGCAGAGCAATATTTGGCCAGATGCTCTTTTTTTCTTTGCTGTGATTTCCACCTACCAAGGGAATAGGGTTTATCTGGTATTCTTGTGGTGATGATGGTACAGGCTGCGGCAGTGAATACCCTCCTTCATCAAGCCTAGTTGCCAATCTCTTTGGTTCAGTGGTCCTAGTTTTTGTCAGCTTTAATCGACTACTCAAATATAGGAAGAGCCCTTCTTGGTGGATATGAATGGGTATTTGCTCATGATGTGTAAGGAGTCGGGAAGGGAGGAGAAAAGAATAAAGTCAGATCTGTATTATAATATAGGTCTGGGAAAAGGACTAGTTTTTTAAATTTTTTCTTTGACTTCTTTCAATCTTAATTGCAAATAAGTAGTAAACCTCACCTACCAGCTCATTGAGTTTTGACAACATTGAAAATGGTAGTGATGGATCAAGTACTCTGTCTCCTTGCTTAAAAAGACAAAAAGTTGGGCTGGCCCGTGGCTTACTCGGTAGAGTGCGGTGCTGGTAGCACCAAGGCCCCGGGTTTGGATCCCACATAGGGATGGCCGGTTTGCTCACTGGCTGAGCGTGGTGCTGACAACACCAAGTCAAGGGTTAAGATCCCCTTACCGGTCATCTTTAAAAAAAAAAAAAAAGACAAAAAGTTGTGGGCTGCTCCTGCTGATATTGGCTTTCTCTAGTTTATTTTCATTTGAGTCAGAGGTCTACTTGAATATGAAATTGAGCCTTTTCTCATCTTTTCTCTGTTTTTGGTTGCAGCTCCAGTAGAAAAAACAATATCCAGTGAAAAATCATCAAGCACTCCATCCTCTGAGACTCAAGAGGAATTTGTGGATGACTTTCGAGTTGGAGAGCGAGTTTGGGTGAATGGGAATAAGCCTGGATTTATCCAGTTTCTTGGAGAAACCCAGTTTGCACCAGGCCAGTGGGCTGGGATTGTTTTAGATGAACCCATAGGCAAGAATGATGGTTCAGTGGCAGGAGTTCGATATTTCCAGTGTGAACCTTTAAAGGGCATATTTACCCGACCTTCAAAATTAACACGGAAGATGCAAGCAGAAGATGAAGCTAACGGCCTGCAGACAACGCAGGCTTCCAGAGCTACTTCACCTCTCTTCGCTTCTGCAGCCAGCGTGGTGTCCTCCTCCCCAGCCATTTCCTCAAATATTCCCCATAAACCGCCCCAGCCAACATCAAAGGATCCTTCAACTGCATCTCAGATCAGCAACCTTACGAAAACGGCCAGTGAATCTGTCTCCAACCTTTCAGAAGCTGGCTCAATCAAGAAAGGAGAGAGAGAGCTCAAAATTGGAGATAGAGTGTTGGTAAGTCAAGAAACCTTCTAAGATCATTGTGTTGAACTGAGAGATAATCACTGATGAGTGGTGGGAATACAGACATAGGGTACTCTGTGGTTCAGTCTGTTCTGGATGGATGACCGCTCATTCAACAGAGAAATTAATCACCTTTTCTAGTTGTTCAGTTTATATGTAAATATGCAACAAATTAGAAACTGGCTATGTAGTTTGTTTATAGTATAAATGTAGATCTGCAGTGTTCTAGTCTAGTTTTATCTATCAGTTTAACCAAAAGGATATTGAGTTTATAACTTGCAAATATTAAGGTAATCTTACTTGGCAAAAGAAGCTCAAAAGTGGACTTAGATGTGTGTATAAAAGTTTGGGGTTTTTTCCTTCTGTTTTTTAAATATTTGCTTTAAGAATAGTATGTGGGTGTCTGTAAGGTCCTGCTTCCTTAAATGTCTTGGAAAACTCAGACATCAGAGGATATTATTTCAGAATTTATGGGCCTTTTAAATGATCGGGTTTAGATCTAGGGAGAGGGAGGAAATGTATAGTAGTTTCTGTTTTACTAATATGCAGGAAGCACAAGGTATAAGGTCTGCGTGCTGTATACAGGAAGCACAAGGTATAAGGTCTGCGTGCTGTATATTCTAGAACCTCTCAATTTACAACATAGTGATTGATTTGTTCTTTTCTTTTCTTTTTTTTTTTAAAGAGGATCAGTGTAGCATAGTGCTGAGAACACAAGCTGATTGCCAGCTTTGACTTTGTGATTTCAGCCAGATGTTTAACTTCTAAGTTTCCTAGTCTATGAAAGTGAGGTTAATAATAGTACTAACATCATAGCTTTGCTGTGAAGATTAAATTAGATAATGCATATAAAATTCTTAGCATTGCCTGGCACATACACAGTAAATACCCAAGAAATATTAGCTATTTTTTTCATTGGTAGAACTAAAGTACCATTTTTTTTTTTTTCCTTTTTGTCTTTTTCCGTGTCCGGCAACGGATCGCAACCCTCAGTGTCGCCCCCGTACCGGACCGGGACTGGCAACGGGATCGCAACCCTCGGTGTTGCTCCCGTGCCTCGCTCAGCCAGTGAGCGGGAACCAGTCTGTATGTGGGATCCGAACCCTCGGCAGGAGCGCCGCAGCGCTTCTCAAGCGGCGCACTATAGCAGTGCGCCAACGGGCCAGCCCAAACTAAAGTACCATTTTGATGAATATTTCAACACTTCAGTTACTTAAGTTCAAGGCGTGAAGTTTGTCAGAAATCTTTAATCCTGTGCTCTTTCAGTTTCCTGTATATATGTTCAACAGCTGTAAAATTCCTTAGGTCCTGATGGCTTCCAATAATAGGAATACAAGAATGACTGTTAGCCCTTAGAGTGTTATAGGTATCTCATTTAATGTTTCAACAATGTTATGGAGTAGCCCACATATAAGAGATAAGGAAAGTGAGCTCTGTGAAGTCACTTGCCCAAGGTCCAAAACCTGAAGAGTTGTTTATCTGCAGTTTAAATTTAGATTTTTTTACTCTGGGGCCTGCTATGAAAAGTCAGTGATAGCTAATATAATTTTTAAATTGGAAGTATTCTTTGTGATTTTGTTGTCTTCCAATAAGGAAACTTAATCCCAGAGAAATGAAGTTACTACCTATGGTCATAAAGTGAGTTCATGCAGATGTTAGAATTAGAACCCAGGACTTCTGTTTCCCAGTGCTGTGGCATCGTGAATGCATGAGCCCTCATGTACCTGTGGGAGCCCTTTAATACCTGTTACCTTCTAGAGGATCCTTCTGGATCCCTTAGTTTCAAGGTTAGTAGGTTTGTTCTTCTAATTAACATAATCATGAATTTCAAAGGTTGATGCTCTAGAACTTAGAGTATCTTAAGACAGCATTTCAGTGCTATGTAGCTCAACTTGTATCTTGTTTGTGTAGCTAATACTCACTTGCTACTCCAATTTTGAGTTTGCTGCAACTGCTCTTTTGTTGCAACAAAGGTTTTTCATTTTTTGCTTTTTTCATTTTTACTGTATAGATAGATAGGTAGGTAGATAGATAGATAGATATAGCTGCCATTAATGCCCTTTAAAAGTTTTTTTTTGGGGGGTGTATCTTTTACTTCAGTAGGATAAATTCATAGAGGTAAGTTACTAGGTCAAAGGACATAAACATTTTTATGGCTTATGGTATATACTAATCTAGTAAGCTTTGATTAAATAAGAAACCCGTTACCTTAGCACAAGACTATGGTAGATTAGATTGCAGGTTATGTGCAGTGCCATTCAAAGTGCTTAGCTGTTAATGACTTATTTCTTTTCCATTCGAGAAAGCATGTGTCAAACTATCAAAGCAAGAAGCTCTTCCCACCAACCAAGGTGAGAAGCAGTTGATTAAAATACTAGTCAAGTAGTATACTGGTTGGCCACTGAAAGACACAAAATGACAAGGTCAGGCTCACTTAACTTACAACAAAAGGCCTCCATGAGAATGTAATTATTAAAGGGGACTTGAAGAAGAGTAGGAATTGGTCAGGCAGCATGAAGTGGTGGTGGTGAGAGGGAATATTTTAGCAGAGAGAAGATCAAACTTCCTGAGATGGGAAGGAGTTGGCACTTTGAGGAGAGGCCAATGTCTTCCTCCAGGTGCAGTGAGCGAGTGGTAAGAGGTCAAACGTAACTATGTGGGATCTGCAGGGTCTGGAGATGTGGGGCCTGTAAGGGTAGGTCATGATAAAGATTTTGATTTTGATGTGAAGAGCAACAAGATTGAGTGATATGATTAGATTTGTAAAGATTACTCTAGCTGCTTTGTACAGAATGGATTGGAGGTGGGTGAGATTGGATTTGGGGTGACTACTCTGAAGAAGTGGATTTTGAAGGAGAGTAGAGAAGTCAGGATGATACCAGAAGAGAGTGTGGGTCTAGAGAAGATTTTATTTTGTTTTTTTAAAAATGACAGAGTCCAGAGTGTTTATATCCTGACTAAAATGATCTAGACTAGAAGAATAGGTTGAATGTACAGGGAGGGAGTGGACTCTGATGGAATGAGGTTGCTGGGGAGGTGAGAAGTGGGCACCCTGAGCACAAACGGAGGGGTTCACTGGCCTTTGAGTGGAGTAAGGGAGGGAGGCTTCCTCCATTTTCACAGGAAGGAATAAAGAGAATCTGCAGATGTAGGTTGGTTTGCAGAGGTTTGAATGGCATATGTGTAGGAAAGTTTTAACTACATGCTCAAAACTAACGTAACAGAATTTAATTAGATCTGTAAGAGTCTTAGTTTTATGAGTGTGTTATGGAGGCAATGAAATTATTTAATTCCTTTGATTAGTATTTCTAGGAGAAAATTACAGGAGTACTTTAGAATTCTGGTATTTTAGAGCTGGAAAAGATCTTTTGAGATCATCAAATGCTTCTTTTTGCTGAATAATACTGAAGCCCAGGGAAGAAACGTGACTTGCTTCAGATCATAAAATTATGTGATCTATATGTGTGCACATATCATTATGTCCTCTTGTTCCCAGTTCCTGTGTCTTTTTTGCACTTTAACATGCTGTCCTTTTTAAAATAAATCTTTGATTTAGAAATATAAAACACTTTGACTTCAAAATTAATTAATTTAAAGAAATTAGATTTAGAAATCTAAAATATTCAATTTGGAATTTTCCTAATTAAAAAAAATTGTATTGATCACCAGAAACCTAACAGAACTTAGATCATTAGATCACTGTTATGTGAGGATTTGTCTAGAATTTTCCCAGTCCCACCTACAATGCCCTCATGGTTCCTGCCATGTTGAACCAGAGGGCAGGAGTTCAGCCTTCCTTCTCTATGCACATTGACCCCGTGTAAATTCTGTTTTTCCTCTCATCGGACGAAGAGCAGGAAAGGGGATTTCTGTATTATGTCTGATGGTTAGCCAAATGACCTCTGTAAGACCCAAAAAGGCACCTGTGACTTGAGGAGGGAAGGCAGTCAGGGCTTGGAGGTGCTCCCCTGTGGTAGCTCTCCCCTTACTCTATCCTCACAGCCATCAGTGGGAAATGGGAATGACAGGAATGATGGGAGTATATATATACTTTTTTTTTTTTTGAAAAATATTATGGATTAAATGCTTAAAGAATTAGCTATAAAGCTGTGCTGATTTTGGTAATATCTGGAGCCTCAAGGAAGGTCACACAGAGTTGCTTACAACAAACCTATGTGTGTCCTTACCACCTCTCTGGCTTCTCTGTTTTTCCATTTATCTGCATGAATATTTCATGGATCTTGTTAGTTGAAGATTGCTTTAGTCTGTCTTACGTGATGAGCTTCTTTGGGTTGATGCTGTGGTTCATTTGGCTGTAAGAGAGAGTCAAACCTCTTTGCAGACTGGGACTCCTAAGGGTAATTCATTACTCTGAATGTTTTTTAGACGGTCTTGCTGCATTTTGGGGTATATTGAGAAACTTGTCCAACTTCCAGCTGTTCTGTTTCAGTGTGGTTGTCTCCATGTCTGGGACTGTGTGTTCTACACTGAATTCTTAGCTTATGACCATATATGAGATGGAGGCTTTTCAGCCTTTTTTAAAAAAAATTAATTAGTTAATTTTTTTTTTGGCAGCTGGTGGGCGCAGGAATCAAACCCTGGATTTGGTGTTATCAGCATCGTGCTGTAACCAACTAAGCTAACTGTCCAGCCCCAGCCTTTTATTTTTTATTTTTTATTTTTTTTTTCCTTTTTGTCCTTTTTCGTGACCGGCAACGGATTGCAACCCTCGGTGTTGCCCCCGCTCCTCGCTCAGCCAGTGAGCGGCTGGTCTGTATGTGGGATCCGAACCCTCGGCGGGAGCACCGCTGCGCTCCCAAGCGGCGCACTGTAGCAGTGCCCCACCGGGCCGGCCCCCAGCCTTTTATTTTTTAAACTGACAAGCTTTATCTTTCAATCAGCTGCTACCAGGGCTCTTATGCTAAGAACCTTACAGTAGCTTTTTCTTGTTCTCAACTCTTCTTAGAGGTCTTTTTGATACTGTGAGAGGG